TGTGTGTGTGTGTGTGTGTATGTGTGTGTAAAAATGTAATCTGTCATAATCTACTTACATAATAACGCGACAGGAAAAACGCCCTTCATTGTGAGAAAACTGTCTTGGACCCTATAAATGGATAAAACAGGAGAGAAAAAACTATCAACACGTTTCAATTGAGGAAGCCAAGACAATTATTGTTCCCGTCTTTGATCGTCTCATTGCAAACACAAGCAGATCTAATACTTCGTTTTCATAGTAAGAGTTTTACTGCAATTGCAACACAAAATATGGGTCATTTAGGTCCTGAAGATTAGACGTGGTACATGAGATAAACAAGCACAAAAAAGGAGAGGTAAGGACGATAGTCGTTTGTCAGGGAAAAAAGGGGGGGGGGGGAACACACCAGAGCACCCACATCTAACACTTGGGCGTCTGTGGTGCAGTGCTTGTGGTCTTCACTCTGCAGCAAGAACTTGGACTGTTCCACCTTATAAACGTTGATATCACCAATAATTTTTTTCTTCTGAGGTCCCCATGTTTGTTTCTGATTGTTACACTGTTGTTTCTGTCTGTGAATGTCAGTACAGGTGGGTAACTGGGTGTGTTCATGGGTTATTGTTTGTTTGTTTGTTTATTTTTGTTAGTGTTTTACGGGAGCTCTCGTGGCCTATATGTTAAGGTGCTCGCGTCTCATTCAAAGGTCCCGGGTTTGAATCCGGTTAATGAAAACTTCCTTCTCTAAAATTGCCTCCTTTTACCTCCTTTCCTGCTCTCTAGCAATGTTCTGCCGTCTGCTTTCGTCTCCACATTCTGCCACCTCCCCCTCACCTCCTTTGCCCCCTCCTCTTGGCTCCTGACTCTTTCTGCAGACTTTCTAATGCTTCTCCTTGGCTTCTTCTTACTACTGTCTTTCAGCCTCACCCCTAATCTTCTGGTAGGAAAGATCTACACCTAGCCTTCTCGGACAAGGACAAAAATCTCGGAGGTCCTGTGTACAATTTGAGCATGTTAAAGATCCCTTGGTGGTCTTCGATAAAAGTAGGCTTCGGTCGCCACTCGGACAAAATTCAAAATTTCCTTCCAACTGAAAATGTTTAATGTGTCCTGCGCGCTCATATGACCTTATGCAATTGCGAGCGTCGTAAAACACTTACAAAAAAAAACGTGTTTTTCGGCGCTCGCAACTGCATAAGGTTAGGTTTATATGAGCGCACGGGACACATTAAACATTCAATTTTCAGATGGTACGAAATTTCTAATTTTGCCTGGTTGGCGGTGGAAGCCTACTCCTATCGATTTTGGATCACCAAGGGATCTTTAACGTGCGCAACTTGCTCACGGGACCTCCGAGATTTTTCGCCCGTATCCGAGAAGGATAGGTGCTAGACCTTACCTACATTAAAATCAATTAAAATCAAAGGTGTGACTGAAAAACAAAAGAAAGAAGGACCCGCAGTAGAAAAGCTGCAGAAGGAGTCAAGAGCCCAGAGGAGGGGGCAAAGGAGTTGAGGGGAGGGGGGCAGAAAGTGGAGACGAAAGTAGACGACAGAACATTGTAAGAAAGTAGGAAAGAAAGTGAAAAGATAAAATTTTAAAAAAGAAAAATGTTCCGTCGCTATCCGGATTCGAACCCGGGACCTATTGAATGACAGGCGAAGACCGTAACTCTCTCGACCACAAGAACTCCCGTCCATGGGTTTAATGAGTCGCCTTCGTGTGTACTCCATTCATGTAACGATTTCTGTACCCACCAACGACACACGAGGGGATGTGCGAGTGGTTGGAGGGTGTCGCTTGAAGGCTCTGTTTTTTTCTCCTCCATGCTTCCTGCTTGCCTTATTCTTGGCACTAAAATGGCTGTTGCTAAGTGCTTCTCTTTAATCAAACTGTGGTCATCTTAATTTTCCACTGATAAAGCGGAAGGCCATAAAAAAATTCGATTTGACAATTAAAATTGTTTTGTTATCAAACATGGTATCTGACCTTGATGTTATTTGTTTGTTATTCTTGACACGTACTGGTTTTTTTTTTGTTTTTTGTTAAATAAAAAAAACACCCATCTATCTTGAATAGAAGTAGAGATACAACACATACTATTTGCGACAGATGGCTGTGGGCGTTGCGTGGTGTCGAGGAAAAATTAGCGAGAAAATGGCCGCCAAAATTAGGTGACTTCCAAATTTTTTGAGTTTTTGAAAGCTAGACTTTTAAATTCATATTTTCAAACATTTGATCAACATTTTTTCAGTAAAATCAAAACAGAAACGTGTTTTGATAGATATTAAATGTGTTGAGCCAACCCCCCCCCCCCCCCCCCCCAAAAAAAAAGATAAAAATTGCCCAACGGGCCGAAAAATGTCGGTTTCTTCAATTTCATTCTTAAAATTTAGACGAGCGCCAGATTTCACCACAATGCCACACGTGTAAAATCTTTATTCATACACATTTTCTGTTTTCTATGTCCAAAACTTAAAATAACAGGGTACAAAATCGGGACCATGTATGATGGTTTGAATAAATAAATATGCTTCAACAATGCCTTCGGTCTGCTGTTGTTGATCCGATGTATGGCTGCTACATTCTCATTAACACTAAACGTTTTATTAATTAAGAGGCTAGACCTCATTGTTTAAGGTACCAGGATGCTAGAACCTGCTTTTTCGGCTGTTCGCCTACCAAGCCTTACAATAACCATATTTATGTACCAGTACCGCATATGTGAAGAAAAATGTTTGAATGTCGAAAAAAAAACTTGAATATGCAAATTAAGCTTCCAATCTGGCCGCCGAAGGCAAAATAATAATATAGGCATGTTACTTGGAAGACTGTATCTTATACACCTTTTAGAATTTTGCATGGAACTTTCAGGAAATATTTTAGAATACCCAATGCATGTCCCAAATCTTCTAAAGTAGGCTATTTATTGGGACAAAATTGTGAGTTTATATAGATTCTAGATGTTGAATGAGCAAGTGATGAAAAAAAATTAAGCTGCCTAATTATGTAAGCAAGAATCAAATTAAATCTACAATTTTCAAGATGGAGCTCTTTTTTAAAGCACCACTATTTTGGGAATATGTGTTCAAAGTTTCGGATTGATATCTTGAACAACAGTGATTTTATGGATTGTAACAACCAGTATGTGAACCCAAAATATTTTTTTGAGAAAATGGACAAAAAACAGTAAGGAATTGTAAGGACGTTGAAACTGTAAGTTCAGACAAAAGCCAAACTTTTAGGTAGGATCAAGTCCACAAGACACAGTAAACTCGGCACCGTCAATTTGGAAGAGTTCTTGTTTTATTATATATTCGCTTTTTGCTTTTCAAATTGCCATTTTAGGGGGGGGGGGGATAGGGTAATACCCTATGTAAACAGATGGTTGCCAAGGGCGATTGGGAATTGACAAGGGTATGAAAAAACCTCGATTTACTTTTTTTTAAAGGAGACTGTGTATTATTTTTATTTCACTTGGGTCTTGTTCATAAATGGGGGCAAAAACAAACGTGCAGTGAAATCTTGATGTTTCATGATATCAAAGCGTACTAATACCTTTACGTCTCTCTTCGATAGGACCCAGCAAAGTGTGTGTGTGAGAGAGAGAGGGAGAGAGGGGGGATAGAGGGAGAGGGAGAGATGGAGAGAGACCAAGAGACAGACTGATTCAGAAATGATATTAACCACGTTGATCTGAAGAATAAAAAACAAGAAAAAAAAATTAAAAATCCAAAGCAAAAACTTTACCAACTGCAACTGTAACCTCCGATCTGTGAGTATTGTGGACAGCGAGTGACCACCGACTTAAATCTACACATGCCGCCAAGTCGTCTGTCTTTTACTGCGCATGCTCAAAATATCGTGGGAGCAGCGCCAACTGACCACAAGGACTTAGGTCATCGAGGCGTTCTGGTCATCTCCTTATCTTCAGTATGAGACGTCGCAGAAGACAGGGTCTGCCCAAGCCTAATCTGGCTTCGATAAGTTTACTACGGGAATGAAAGGTATTCCTTGCGTAAGAAGACATTTGGGATGTCTGATGATGGTGGGTTCAAAATTGCCATTATGATACACCTTGTTCTTTGAGTAAAATAAAGAGAACCAGCTACTGAAGCTGTAATAGGCTGGGTTGTTGTTTAGTATAGTATAGTCGAGGGTTTTACGGTGCTCGCAACTGCATAAGGTCATAATATGAGCGCCCAGGGGTGGGTGTCAACAGAGAAGTCTTTACAGGGAATCAGACTTAGACTGCTCGCCTCTCTAGCTTCAACAGCACAAGGTCTGCTTCGACCTTCAAGGCACCCCAAAATAGCAGGTCACAAGAGAGTGACAAACATACAAAAGAAGTAGAAGAAAATGACAATAGTAAGGATTAGGAAAGAAAAAGCAGCAGTTCCCTGTTGTAGATCAGGCACAGTTATGAGCGTGACATGAGTCAGTCCATTTAAAATTCTACTATGCTTAAACGAGAAATGTCCCCCCTTTGGGAATGGCCGAAAGACACTTCAGTCAGTGGCACTGCCCCGGTGGAGGTTGTTGTTTGAGTGAGAAAAACACAAAAAGGTTTTATTAAAAGACTCAACACAAAAGGCTTTTCATACAGCATTTTTAAAATATTGATGAGTAAAGAAGCAAACGGACGTGTGATGGCCACTCATCGCCAGGAAAAGCAAAACTGATAAACAAACAATTGAGGAAAAGAAATGAATTTGTTAAAAGAAAATTAACAGACCGACTTGTGGCCCCTTCCAACTCCACGCAATCTCGACCTTTTAGCGATTGGTATTATTTCGATTCTCTATCTGTTGGATGTTGGCTTAAGTTACGCCAACGTTTGTTTAAGTAAAAAGAAGCACATCGAGACAACAACAGCCATGACGTGCTAGGGGAAAATAAGACAAACAGACAGAAACAATAGAAAAAGAAGGAAAGTAAACAAGAAGGTCCAACTATTAGTGTCCTCCAACCACCCGCCGCATTGCCAAGTAGAGACTGGTACATTGTTCTCTACGCAAGTACGTGTACATATATGTAGGCCTTCATTTGTAATTATGTTTAATAATTTAAGGAACCGGCTGCTTCAACCTGCCAGACAGGGCTAACTAAGCGTCGCCTCAGGACTGTTTTGTCCAACATGTACTTCAGTAAGGAGTGCATTTTAAACAAAATAGTTTTGAGACGACGCGAGGCGAAAAGGGATGCCACATCCCAGCAAACTGACACCGAAGATACGCCGTTATTAAGAACTTCCCTGCTCGGGATCAAACTGACGTCTTCAGCGGGCGACGGTGTAAAGCCTGGCCGCTAGACCATGGACACCAGTAAGTATGCACTGCTACGAGACGAGACGAGGAACCACAGAATTCTACACTAAGTGTAGAATTCTGTGCGAGGAACACACATCTTGTCCTCAGTGTTGGGGTCACCCCCCCCCCCCCCCTCTCTCTCTCTCTCCCCGTCTTCGGGATCCATCCCACAGTCTGTCTGCTTACAGTCTCCATAATAATCTGGTTGGAGAAGGAACAGGTGCAGGGAGGGGAAGGGTAGGCTATATTTACCGTTATTTATTAGTAAACCTAAACGCCATATGGCCATAATTTATAAGAGGAGGGACCTCCGAATGTAACGTCCATCTAT